TATTAATTTTGGTATCAAAATTCTGGGAGAAGTACTTAAATGCTACAAATAATGACGAGGTCGAAGAAAAATCAGTAAAACATGAAGCATTTATTTTCTTTAATTACAATTTCACACATTTGTCTTCCGTTGAAAATGAATACCGTTTGACAATAATATACTTTTCGTTTTGAGGCTTAAAACTATGGAATGACTGTGTCCCCGAAATTTGGTTCACATGTATATAACGGGTTTTCAATTTTCTTTCCATTTTATTGTAATCGGATTCCGAAAAAAACTGATAGTGTATTTTTGAATCTGGCTTAGAAATAGCCCATGAGTAAAGCCACCATATAACAATCGGTCAAGAGGTTCAGAAGTTATAAATTTTTGAAAAAAGACATTTTTGAAAAAAAATTATTTTTTGGACCACCCTAACACGGAAATGGTCACCTTAATGGCGCAATAAAAAATACGAGTCTAATATTTTTTGATAAGGAAGAATTATACCAATTTTCATGAAATTCTGAGACCCACTATAACTTTTTTCTATGGAATTGCTGTATGACTATAAATCTTTAGTTATTCAAGGGAACCCTAATTTGCGTTCGAAGATAGTACTGAGAAGGATTCAAAGGGAATTCAAAACAATTTATCTGACCTTATGAAGGGTTTGCATGGAACTTTAAGAAGAACTACAAAGAGAAATCCTTACACCTCATAAAAGAGGTGTTTTGTATGAAGTGTACGCATTTTGATGCATTTGTTAAGTGTTTGGATATTCTGCACGGTACTCAATAATATTTGAGAGTTAAAATCAGACTCTTAAAAAAAATCAAAATCAAGCAATGACAGCGGTATGCACCATGCATTTGAACCCTAGTCTCAACCACTACAAACTAGAGAACAACGAATAGAAGATTAGGAATCACATGGATGAAAACTAACTAACTCATTTTTTCCTTGTTTCAAGATCATCCAAGATCATTCAAGTGCCCGAGATTAACTCCCTAGAACACTCGAAGTGGCAGTGAAAGTGCCTATAATTTGTTGACGCTGAACTTAGTATGTTCCATTCCCAGGTAGGAAATTTTCTCAACTCCCTATTGTGATTTGGGGCATTGAATTGTCATCACAGTTTTGTTATTGTATGTTTTCCGGTAGCAGATAATGGACTCCTGGAAAAAGCGACGTGGAGTCCGAGGTTCTGGATCGTATCACCTTAAAACAATTTCTATGTTCTGCCTCCCGCTTTTCATTAGTCAGCCAAAAGATCCCTTCCCGTGTAATGATGATAAATATTTTTTTATCGATTTATTCAATCTTTACGAATAACAGTCATTTGAATTTTAACCGAGTTTTTCAGTAATCCAAAAATCCAGTAAAAAAATACTGACTCCTGTAAAAAAATCTAAGGCATAACATTTGATAACGGAACAAAAGCATTTGTAAACAAACTTTCTAAGGCCCTTTACACGCGAACCAAAGTACGCCCACGCAAAACATCATCGGATAGGGGCAACTATCACCTTTCCGAAAGTGGTATTGGTTTGAATACAGAAGCAGCGGAGCTGCACACTCCTCCATTAAAATAGCACCGCAGCTGAGCTGCGAGTGCTATGAAATAAAAGGGACATCGACTTATTACCACTACCTACTTCTCTCCCTTCCACTCTCAGAATTCGCCGATTCGGTGTCTCTCGTTGTGCTTTCTGCTGAGACTGAGCAATATTCGATACCGCGAAACATCTCCGCAGTTATGTTTTCTTTCAGTGCAGGAGATGTGCGGTAATCGAAATTTTCATGTGCGTAATCCACTACAACAGCCGAACGTACGAACGGATAGGGCGACTATAGCGCATTTTAAGAAAACGTCACTAGTTTTTATGGCTGTTTTAAATCAATAATTACGAAGAAACCATAAAGCCTACAAGGTTACTACCAAAGGCACAAATCTAGGGAACTGCATGGAGAATGTTTTGTAGAACAAATAAATTAACAGCAATAAAAAATTTCAACTTAAAAACACTAAAATGTATGAAATTTCACCAGTTTTTTTTGGTACTTTCAACATACTTTTCAATTTTAATGTATGATAATTAACTTTAATCGAGTTCTTTTCTAAAGAGCATTGATAGCTAAGACTTTATTCTTTCATTTAGTATGTTGAAATCAGAAAACCACATTAAGATTAAAAAAATATAGCTAACCAAAGTTGGCAATAAAAAAACATAGAATGATGCTTAGCAGTCATTTCCGACCCTATGTTTCATGGGGATTTTTTCATAACTTTAGGAGACCTATCTACCCTGAAAATATGTAAAACCCGGAACCAAACACCCTGTATATAAAAGAGAAAATAATTAATTCTTTGGACGTAAGTATAATAAAGAATAAAGATGTGATTCTTTGAATATATAAAAAAGAACATCATTAATTCGTTAAATATATAATAAAGATGGGAATATTCTGTTCTTTGAAAATTTAAGAAAAGGGAATCATTAATTCTTTGGATATACGATAAAGAATGGAATATTCCCTACTTTAAATATGTAAATAATATGAAAAAGAAGGGAATATTCCCTTTTTTTAAAATATAACAAAAAGAAAGAATTAATTATTTGGATATACGATAAAAAAGGGAACATACCCTTCTTTGAATATATAAAAGAAAACATCATTAATTCGCTAAATATATGATAAAGGAGGGAATATTCCCTTTTTTGAAAATATAAGAAAAGGAAATAATTTATTCTTTGGATAAACGATAAAGAAGGGAATATTCCCTTCTTTGAGTATATAAATAGCTTTTCGCAAGGGATTCGGGGTAATGACCATTTGGGATAATAACGAGTAGAATAATGTTATAAATTTGTAATCGGTAGTTCAATGCATCGATTTTTTAATCCATCACGAGAAATTCTTCAACTCAGGTCGAACAATTCTTCGATAAGGTTCAACAGTTTCCGACTGGTTGAATTGGATTGCATAATAGACCCTTTGACTTATTAAATGATGAACGAAGTGCTCGAAAACTTGAAGGTTGTCATTTTATAAAGAGCTAAAAAATGGTTTGGAATTGATAAATACATAGTTCCATAAAAGTAAACATAGTGTATTATGAATAGTAAAAAAAAAATAAAAGTGAAAATTACTAATTTCATCATCTTTTCTGGGGAATGGTACATTCTGAGGAATGCTTTTCTGAGGAAGGGTACATTCTGGGGAATGGTTTTCTGGGGAATGTTATAGAACCATATAAATGTATATAAACGTACTTCGACGTGGCTAAGAAATGAATAAAACAGATGTGATACCTTCACTTCGGGCCACTGTTTGTCTGTTGGCAATTATCCACAGCGGTAAAATTATTGACTGCTTAGGCTGAGTGTGAAAGCACTGCACTATTCAATCCATTGCTCTGTGCAGACCGGTTGTACCAAACGGTAAAGGAAGAGGCAATGAAAAAGCCAACAAAAACATTCAGTCACTCACGAGCAGGCGATGCACACCGATTGCATTTGCTCACACAGCATGTAATTGAGTCATTTTTCCATAGAAAATGTACGCTCAGTCATTCAAAACAAGTAGGGTTACGGTATGTAATGTGGGTCTAGTCCTTTCATTCGGCCTATCACGCAAATAAATAATTAATTAAGGAATATTACACAAAAAATAAGGAAAATATTGATCACTGATGATTGATAAATGTGTACCACACACAAATCAATTTATATCACAACATTTCAATACATTTTCAGCTCTCGTAAGTAATAAAACTGGTTGAGAATATCACTCTGTTCGGAGTTTTTAGCCGCCATGACTTCTAAGGTTAAGATGGGAAGGTTGCACTGACGATCATCAAATGGCCTGATTATGGCATTTATTGAATGGAATTACCTGATAATACACACTAGACGTAAAACTCACAGTTACTGTTTGAATATTTTATGTTTATTTTAATTGTTTAACAACGTTTTCACAAGTAAATCATGGACCCAACTTTAGGGACACATTTCTTTTCTATGTTCCTAACTTTGGCCCATGAAATTCATTTGACAGCATATAGCAATAAGAGTAACGTCAACAATGTGGTTTGCATTTGGATGATAAGGAACGAACAGGAAGGGAGATTTTTTCTGCCAAATCTGTATAATGAACATCACAATGTTTTGATTTAGATATTCTGCGGTCGAAAGACGATAAGCGAAATTTTTAATTTTTAATTTTTAACTTGAGTGATTTAATGTAGTTTTCGTAAAATTTTCTCTAAGAAATGTTTTGAGGAATGAAGAGTATTAAGTTAACAGTGATAGTGATAAAAAAAAATACATAAGAAAACGTTACCAAGAGCGTTTTTTTTGAGAATCAAACAGGATAGGACGAAGTTGCATCCATAAATAGACCCAATTTGGGGACAATAGACCGATATTACATACATTTCCCTGGTGAGTTTTTGTCTTAAAAAAAGTAAGTTTTTCAACTTTTTGCGGTTCCTGATAGCAAACGACATGATAAGCATATCTAAGCATACCATTTAGCAGTAGAATATCGTTTGCAGGTAAATTAATTGATGAGTTATGATTAAAAACGTAATCTATGGCTGCATATTAGACCGAGGTTAGGGACGTATACCCTAATAAAACAAGAATAAGCGTGCTGACTGAGCTACTGACTGAATGCTCGGCTGTCAGTGACTCGTTTACCTCTCAATCATTCAGACTCTCACGAGGCAGTGAATGATGAGGCAGATGGCAGTTTATATTCATATCAATATGACTCAATGAACCTGACTAAGACAGGTCGTAATAGTACTCAAGTTAGCTTTTATATTTTGTTTTTAAAACCCCAAAATTTTATACATTGAATTGCAACAAAGCGTAGGTTCTACAACAGGCATGCAAGAACTAGGATAAACAAGGTTTCAATGTATTAACTGCAACTATTAGTTATAAAAAATCTTCTGTGTCTTTCTTCAAAGACTACACATGTTCATTCAACCTTTATGAATTGTGTATTACCTGTAAGCCGTTTCCTCCAAAGTACCAACTCCTATACTTCAATTCTCTTCTTATATCACTCCAAGAATCAAACTCGATGTTACGGTATATGTTTGGATCCAAAGCTTTTGCCACTTTATAGGGAAACGGAGTAATTCCTTCCTTTAACAGTTGACGAACGCATGACATTTTCTTCTCGCATAGCATAGGGTTCACAAGAACTAGGTCTCGCGCGATTGATCCTCGACCACCATTTCCGGAAATATTTCGTACTTCTTTGACGACCTTATTCGATCGTTTATTGCGATAGATATCAACTATGTGCGCAAAATTATCCCTGTTGTGAAAATGGCATAATCTGTAGTTATCCAACACGCACTCTGTAGACTCTAAAAATAATAATACAATAAACCTGCGGTGAGTAAAACATAAATAAATAAAGTTAAGTCAAGCCTCGCTCGTTGGGCTCTTTTTTATTTGGTCTGCACTCAAACATCAAACCTCGAATTGAAAGTGGCACACATATTGTAAAACCCTTTCCACGCGAATCGAAGTACCTGCCCCCACGCAAACCAACAACATGGAATCAGGGGAAGTTTTCCTCTTTCCGATAGTGGTATTGGTTTTCGTGGGTGTTCTTCGGTTCGCGTTTTCAAATGTTGCGCTGTAAATGTAGTCAAATCCATCCTTACAACTTAAAAATCATCTACAGCTACCCAACCAACGAGATTCGACTGTTTATGAATAGCTACCTGCGTCATCGAGGACAAATTCTCTTCCCTCTGATGTAACGATCTTTTCTTCAACAATATCCCCCGTTTCTTTTTTACACTCAATGCTTCGCATAGTTCTGCCCTCAGGATCGTGTAGCATGCGTTCAACGGAGTACATAACGTCTGGAAGCTTGAATACTCTTACATATAAAATTTCGTATACTAAAGCTAAAATATTGAAAGAAATTATAAAATAAAACTAGAATGCTCCCTGTCATCTGTAGATACCAACCTTGACAATAAGCCGCTTGTTCAATATAGGGCGTTGGGAAAATAGAGTCGAAGTGCTTGTCGGGTGAGAAGAATATCATCAAGTTGTCCTCATAGGAGTCACATCTTACGAGCCAAGTACCACAATTGTACGGTTCGAAAAGTAATACATTACGTCTGCAAAAACAAAAACCGAACAAAAATGTCAGAGCTCAAAAGAGTTAGTTTTCGATCGACGGCAAGCCTCCTCCACCAACCCTCCCGATAAAGTCCACTACCGAAAGGGAAAGAGCCCTCCCAGACCGAACACTCTTAATATCCCTTTAGTTAATTTTATGTACTTCCAAAAAAGATTTATGAACTTCGAAAATAGGAACTAAGCATACTTTTTTGTGTGTGAACGATTTTTCATTGCAATTCAAGCAGGAATGGCGAAAAAAGTGACTTTTAGAGACATTTTGTCGAAAAAAGGGACATGGAAGTGACCAACTATAAAATGTGATAGTCACTAAAAAATAATCCGCTATCAGCCCTGAGGGATTCCATCCAGAATGAGCTGAAAAAACCAGAAATCGCGCTCGACCATCTTCGATTTGGATGATACATTGCCCATATTTTCAGTATGATCGACGAAGTATTTTCCGCAGGAGAGGAGACCCTTTTGACTCAAGGGTAATTTTTGAAAAGGGCCTATGTGTTTTTGCACACATACTTTAAAAAAAATGTAGTTCGAAAACAGTTGATTGTAGAAAAAAAATTTACTAAGAAGGAGTTGTAGGAAACTAATAAGGCTTTATAAAAAAAATATACACGGAATTTTTTTTTTCGTTTTTTTACCAAAAAATTGAAAATAAAACTTAAAATTCAAATAACAAAAAAAAAACGTATTTTTATTTTTTTTTATATTTTTTTATAAAAACTTGAATAGAAAGCAGAAGTTTTGAAAACAACTCTAGGATGGACAAACTTCCAATAAAAAAGTTTTTCTAAGAGCAACTTTTGAGGCATTTTTGATAATTTCATTATTTACAGCACAATGTTCAGTTTGATGTCAGTATATGATTAAAAAAATCATTTCAAACGATAGTGCTCATATCGATAAACTTCCAAAATATAACCGTTTTCGAGATATTTCAGAACTTACTTTCATCAAAATCAATTTTTTGTAGAAAATAAGCCATTTTCATAAGTTAATCGTGATTCTCCATCAGCATTGATAAGTTTAGCAAGATACACATATATTTACCTTCAATTTGTCTTTTGACGATTGAACGATCAGACAACCCGTTTAGAATTTACAGGGGAAATGAAAACACTATTATTTTAAATATAGAAACCAACACAAGTTAAGTTGCACTAATTTTCATTATCAAGCGTAGTTTCATCCTATTTAAGTTGTTAATATTGATGTACCTATCCATCTTATTATTTTAGGTACATTATAATGTCTTTCATGGTATTTTTCATGAAAAAAAGAGCTTCTCTGTTAGAGTAACTTCAATACCAAAACAATATTTATACCTGAATATCCAAATGGTACCTACGTTTGTATATAAGCATGGCCATCCTTTTGAAAACAGACATCACTAAAAAAATCTTTTTTAGTGAACAAGTATAATTTGAATATGGAATTCAAGAAGGTCGAGTGTTGCAAGCCGTTTCCTAATAAAAGGTGTTCGTCAAAGCTTCGTAAATTATCCGAAAATTTGATTGAAAAACATAAGTTCCTAGAGTGGAAATTTAATTTGGATACATCTCTATCAATCTGTGATACGTGTCGCTTGAATTTAAATAGAATCAAACCATGTGCTGAAAATCTGGAACTAGAAGTGCAACCGTCACGGAGCCGCAGCCATCTACATCTCGACATGGCCTCGAAGAAATACCATCAACTACGTCAATAACAACAGCATCATCTCAGGATAGTTGTTGCAATTTACAGGTAGCGGTAGAGCAGACTACCTTTGAATGGGCTAACACGCAAACACTGGGAAAATGTGCACCAACGAAATAAAAATTGGGTTAGCATTGACGTTTACATTAATTTATTGTGCCGGCATGGTTTTCTCCTGCCTAACCTCCTCTCCTATCTTTCTTCGGCCTTTGCTGCTCTCACTTCCCTACATCTTTTCTCTTCTTCTTTCCGCTTACTTCTTCTTAAGAGTACTCACTCAATGCTGCTGGGTGCACCCTTACCGCCGCTGGATTACCGCACTGATGTTCCGCGGCTCGTCCGTCTGACTTGCTCCACACACACAGCACAATGACCACCCGTTGTTCCGTGGTTTAGAGTCCGGTCCGGACAACCCTCATCCGTCGTGTCTACGATGACCTCGCCAGAATCACGCTGAGTAGTCCGACCTGCGGAATAGCAATCAGAACAAAAGGCCCTGGGGCGCATATCCCCTTAGTTTTCATGTGGCGACTGTTGGAGTAAAGCGACTTACTTCTGTTTGAAGGCCTTTTTAGCCACAGGCAGTGGTTCTTCACCGATAGCGTCTGTCCGGGAGATCGTGTTTTGGCGTCGTTGCCTTGGCCTGAGCGCACTTTAGAGAGGAGAGTGTGAATTTTCCTACCTTCACTTTCTTTGATTAACTTACCGGTTAATCTGTCGTCGGCAAGCTTCAACGATGTTTGATCGTTGATCCACCATCCGGTGCGTTCTTCTTCGATCGCACAGAGCTGCTCGCGCCCGAGAACACAGTTTTTTACACTTCCAACTTACTATCACGGCAATCGCGATTATCAACCACGCCGTTTTGCGTGCTACTTGTGCGAATGCACTTTTCTTCTGGCTCCCTTTATGCTGTCACTGATGTTTACTGTGCTGGTACTTGTGTGTGTGCGTGCGGAAGCGTTGTCAGCAACGTCAATGCGGAATGATGGGCAAGATAATTTTCGCTTTTCAAGCGATGCGGCCCATGTGGCATAATTTCCTTATACACGCTCACGGGAGATTAGGCATCAATAATGTCATACCCCAAATGCTTATAAGCGAATTGCTACTACCCAAAACTAAACGTAACACAACCTTACCACAGGCGCAGAGTTTTTTGTGAGCGATGAAGAAGAAGCTCACAAAAAACTCTTAGCTCACTTCCTTAGAAGTCGCATAGAGACTAGGCAGATCTTATGATATTGACTTAAGCAAACCTTAAGATGTAGATAACCGCAGCATGACTGAAAACCGTGAGCCTCATGCTCACCAGATATAAATTTCCCAACTAAATTAAAACGAACATAACGGCAGCGAGTCCTGCCAGAGGGTGATCTGACCGCCCTATATTGGGCAGAATGTCTCTATGTGAAGTTCTTGTCCCATCTTCTACGTCTAGCCGACCTTTGGCTCGACATTCAACAAGATCTATGCTAGTTTTAGGAGCTAAAATAAAACTAGAGATCTTACATAGAACAAATAACAGTAATAATGTGTTGGCTAATATTTCGAACGGATATAGTGGATTCGATCAATCGCAATCTGAGAATAGGAAGCATTTCCGCAACCTAGATTACTATGAGCCCAAGAGAGAGGATAACACCGCGCCTCCCGTTCGCGTTACTTTAGAAAATCATAGTAACCCCCATGCAAAAGAACTCCACCTCGTTCAAGACCTGTGCCTGGAATCTGTCAGTCAATGTCGTTCAACGAATTCCTCTCCTGATCGTTCGATCTCCCGATCAATTGAGGGTGTTGGAAAGCACTTCAATGTGCCGAAAGCCTGGTGCCTGTCAGCTTTCCTGCACCGACTAAATTCATCCATGGCGGTTGTCGGGTATTGTTGGTGGTTGAGACCGAGTTCGACAGATAGCTCTGGTGTTTGGTCCATGGTAGTGCAAGGAATGGCGAGGTTTCGGTACGTGTTGTTGGTCCTCAAGCCTTTTCCGTATGACGGGTTTTTGGTGGCAGAGATGCTCGTTGTCGACAGCTCCTTGCATGCTGCGTTCATAGCTTGTACAGTCATCCGATCAAGAGCCGGATGCTTCGGCGAAGCTGTTATCGCCGGTTGGATACGAGGTTTTGGTTGATTGACCTTCCAGTTTGTCCCGACCTGGTAACGGCATGCTAGCCTCGCGCCTAGCATGGTTGGTTTCTCTCGCTCCAACAAACGGTGCGCCCTGGGAGGGCAGTGCTAGCATGAACATCCGATCTGGATTTAGGTTGTTCCGCGGCACTGCTAAAGTCGTGTTTTTTGCGAGGTCTGTTTGATTCGTTGATTTGTCCAGTTTATCCCGCTCTGGTAACGGCATGCTAGCCTCGCGCATAGCATGGTTGGTTTTCTCTCGTTCCCAACAAACGGCGCGCCCTCCGAGGGCCATACAGGCTTGAACTGATGTCATCATGGCGTTAAATACGGATTGGTTCGTCGTGGTTCCCCAAACGTAGGACATCTTCCACGGCGCAATGTGGTGAATCGAAGACGGAGCAGCACTGTCCGAATTGAGTCCTCCGTTTTTCCGGAGCGCGTTTGGTGTTACTTCCACTGCGTTCCTTACTGCTACCCTTAGGCGTTGTCTACTTGCTGTGCTGCACCATGGAATCTTGACCGCTTCGCGTTTTTTTCTGATTCACCGATCGATGATCAAATTGTTCGCAGCCACTGCTGCTTAAATAGCTGAGGGAAACATCTGCTAATCGGCCTTCATATCCTTGGCATGGTATTGCCCCTTCTTCCCATCCTTCACATCCTCCAACTTGTACAGGTTGCTGCCGATGACTTCTACTACCACCGCTGGAACGAACTTTGCATCGAGTTTCTGGTTGAAGTGATCTACTTTGGAGGACTGCGTGAAGTTCCTGCGCCACACCAGATCTCCGACTTTGAACGTTACATCCCGTGTTCGCAAGTTATAGCGCTGCTTGCTCTTCTCGTGGTTATTCTTGATCCGCTTAATGATGAAGTTATGGATTCGGCGGATTGCCGATAGCCGTACCTCCTGCGCCACCTTGGGGTCATCTGGGATGTTGAGGTCCTGTTGTACGTACAGGTCAGTGTGCAGGATTAGCTCCCTTCCAAAGTTCGCATAGTGCGGACTAACGCCTGTTGCCTCATGCTTCGCTCCGTTGATTGCTGCTACGATGGCTTGCAGATTTTCATCCCACGCTCGGTGATCCTCGTCCAGAAGAGCTCTTATGCACGTGATTAGCACTCTGTTCACCCTTTCGGCATTGTTCACCA